CATTTTATCTCCATCTCTGAAAAAAAATTACCAACAAAAAATATGCAGGATCAAATGAGTTGGTAGTGCCGTCCAAACATGGTCAAACCTCTGATAATAAAATGTCAGAGAGAGTCGTACAAATTTAAGTTTAACTGGTTCTACACAAATGGCATTAATAATTGTCATACTACTGAGATTAGGTATGAGAAGACAAAAACTATCTTTACAAAATAGAATGATGATGTTAGTTACAATGAAAGCAGCATGGGTGAGGAAGGTAAGAGTGAAGATGATTAGAAGAGCATTCACAATGATGAAAATGATAGAGATGATGAGGAGGAGGAGGAGGAGGATGATGGTAACCATGGTAATTATAACAATGATTACAAAGTACCAAGATTACAATAGGTACAACAGCAGTGTAATTACAGAGAGGAAGGATAATCATATGTTACAGATAATTTATTACAAGGAGGGTAAGAATGACAAGGTTAAAATGAAGACAATAAGATAACTATCACTTGATTCAGAGGGACTGTTAGCATAATCACTAAGCTTTTCAGCAAGCTCATTGATGTACTAAACACTGTCATCACAATCAAGCGAATATGTCCATACAAGTCATTTCTAATGCTGCTTATAACCTTGAACATGTTCTATGCATGTTATGCATCAGTCAATTCCAGCTACATCCAGTCCCCCTGGGGTGACCCCCGGGCACTAGCATTTTTTGCCTTGGATGGCAAATTCCCGGGGGTGAGGACTTTTAAGCTCTCAAATCCCCGCGGTAGGGACGAAAAAAGAGGGCAAATGCCCTGTCCTCCATCAACACTGCAACATTTTTCACTGATCGCACAGTCGAATAGTGCCATTTTAAGCATTTTAATGTGCAATTTTTTTGTTTCATAACTTAATAGCGCTCTATTAATTCTAATGTCAATAATTTTGTAACAATACTAAAACCATAAACTAATTAATAATAATTAATAATTAATGTCTTCCTCTGCAATAGATAGCGCTGGGATTCTAATTAAGACTTTACGCTGCGACGACACCAGTTTATGGTTGTAGTATTGTTATAAAATTATTGACATTAAAATTAATAGAGCCATATTAAGTTATATGTTATGTCGAATAGTTTTATAAATATGAAAGGATGTTTTTCAAATAATATCAACAGAAATTTGATTCAACTTAACTAAAAAACGTTGCCGAGTCACGTCGATAGCTCCCGATTTCGATATGTAATTCTGGCTTGATAGGCAATGAAGAAATGCATGCATAAAATTGACAACATGCCTTAACAACCCTCTTCAATTTTTCCCTGTCCTTGACAGAGGAGCCAATATGCTTGTTTTTCTGGTAAAATCCTCTTCATAGTTAAATTCTAAATAGGAAACCACATGCGTGTCAAAAGCCTGGGAATAGCCCCAGGGTAGGCAGATGCCTGTCCCCCAGGCAGGGCAAAGTTTGCAATCGCCCCACCCCCGGGACTAACAAGCCAGGCAAATGCCCCGCAGTAGCTAAGGGGGGGGCGGGGGAAGGGACCTGGGCGCAGCTGGAATTGACTGATGCATTATCCTAGCCACTTCTAAGTATTGCAATCCCCCTGAGTCCTGGTATATACCGTACTTAGCCCCGCCATAAAAACTTAAAATTAAATTTGCATATTGATAACATCCAACACACCCAACTCTAATATGACTTCTTAAATTCATGGAACTTGAATCATAGAACTGTCTGAAGAGCAATTCGCAACTTCACCAAATGCTATACAAAACTAACCATGAACGAAATGATAAAAAGACACGGATGAAGAAAAAATGAAATATACCTGTCTGCTTTGCCAGATTTTCTCACAAACGACTTAAAATATGGCGCCACTGCGTTGCTGATGTAGGAGTGAAGCGTCTCGTAAGGAGAACCTTCGTTTAAATTTATCACACGAACTTGTGAAGTGATCTTCTTGTCAGCATCAACAATCGCTCCTCGTTTGATAAACGCGACGCTTGAGAGCTTCGGCGCGGTGTAATGAACATCCAAATTGATGGAGTACATCGCCTTTTCTTGATCGTTCTCAGCGCCACTCTCTGTCGAAGAGGTTTCATCGCTTTCTTCTTCATCTTTGAGTGGCGTTCGCGTAACGAGAAGGCTTCTCGTTTGGGCATCAGCAAGAAATTTCCTGATGTAGTCCACATGCAAGGGGTCTTT